GTTCCGGCTCCGGCTCCCTCCCTCCCGCCTTTCCCCCCTCTCTCCCTCTCTCTCACTCTCTTCCTCCCTACCCCCCTCCTTCTCTCATGACCCGTTATTTTCACGGGCTTCCAGACAAATCTTCGTTTTATTGGCTGAGCGATTAGCGAAGCCTATTACTCCGTCTGGTAATTGAAAAAAACTTTTTCTGTCTGTCTGTCTGTCTGTCCGTCTGTCTGTGTGTGTGTCTGTCCGCACGATAACTCGAGAACGAATTTAGCGAGCGACCTGGGATTTTCAGGGTCATTTAGTGTCATAAAAAGACAGATCGAGTTCGAAGATGAGCATTCTAGCTCAAAAATTGGATTTAAAAAAAATCAAAAACAACGGGTCCAAAAAATGACATTTTTTGAAAATATTTTTTTATGGTTCTGTTAGGGGGATCTCATCAAAGTAGAGCCCTTAGGGCGAAAATTTTGTCCGTTTTGCTGTAGCTTAAACTGTTGAGGCACTAGAGGGTATTTTTGACGAAAATAAGCGGAAAAATGTACAACCGTGCATGCTTAGTCGAGGTGATTGGCCGTTGACGGACCGTAGGCCCGTACCTTTGTGTACATTTTCCCACTACCCTACTTTGGTGTCAGCGCCGCAGGCCAAGGTAGATGTATGCCAGGCGCGTCGCAGCGTAACAGTGTTTCGTGAGATATCGCGAAGCCTGTTACGCGAGACGTGGTCTGGCGTACATCTACCTTGTCTTTATTTTTGAAAGGGGAGGCAGCGCGGCGTGTTGCGCGCTCTATTTTTGTCCCGCGCTACTCCGTTTTGATCTCTGGTGCGAGCTGTCGGGATTGCGGCAAAATTATTGCAAGGGCAGCAGCTTTGAACCGGCAGGGCCTTCTCGCCCGGGGCTCCCCATTGCAGCTGACCATAAGCACGGAACCTAGACTGAAAGCATTTTTGCTGCAAGCACTTTTTGCACTTTTGTTTTTTGTTTCAGACTCGTCGTTACTATTTTTCTTTATGAAATGACATTATGAATATTGTTTGTGCCCGGATTTCATGTTATCTTTTTTTTCCCTTTTGGACCTTTTACGAGTTTTTGAAACATTTGCATTCTTTTTCTTTAAAATAGTTCTCAATTTCTATCTTTTATAGCTTTTCAGGACCTGCGTTTTGCGGAGCACCGAGTCGCGTTGTTCAGTGGGTGTCTGGCCAAAACCAGCCGGAAGGTTATTCAAATCCGCTCGAAAGCTTTCTTCTTCCTTTCCGTGTTTCTTGCTCTCTTTCACACACACTGTCTGTCTGTCTGCCTGTGGTGGGACGACAATAACGCTCCTCTATAGCACCCTCTGCATGTCAACCTGCTTGCCGTGCTGCACCAACATCCTTTATAAAAAATACATAAAAGAAAATAGTGAGCATCCCGCAAGGCACAATTTCAGGCATGTCAAAATTGTCCCTTAAAGTTGATTTGAGCGATAAAAAAAGTCGCACTTCCTCTTTTATGTCGACAAATTTGTTGTGCATAAAATCGTGCGTTACCGTGTGCCCAGCCATTGCGTTTCTGTACGGCGCCTGAAACGCCTGCCTTACGTGTTCCAGGGAGTCGTGCATCATGGACCACCGCGTCGCCGCCAAGCCGGCTGCCTTCCAGAACGGCCACAAGCAGCAGCAGCAGCAGCAACAACAACAGCGACAGCGGCTCGTCACCTGGCTGGACAAGAAGCAGGCCGTTGGACCAGTCGGTCCCAGCCTCGGCTCCATGGAAGGCCACATGTAAGGTCGCGGAGGCCCTCGTGCGGAGCCCCCTGCCCTCGACGTCAAGGCCCCCAGCCCCCGGGAGGGTCTTGGCTCCAGCGACTCCACGGCTGAACTCGTTTTTCGCTTCAGCCGCTGTCGCGGCGTTTCAACTACAAAGTGAGTCGCGGTTTTTTTTTTCTTTTCGCACTTGAAACGAAAAGGACAAGTCTGCGCTCTCGTCGGGGGACGACGGGCATTGAGTCTGTCACAGTGCTGAGCCTCCTTCGATAAAGTGTAGCGCCCAGAGTGCGGAAAATATACACCGTGTCGGACACTTTTTTGTGCTCTCGTGTGTATGCGTGCAACATTTCTGTGAGAAAAATATTGTGATAAATATGCTGCGCTGTGTCGCCAGCGGTTTATATATGTATATATCTAAGGAAAGGCAGAGACTAGTCTTCTTTTGTACCCCCTTGAACGGAACGAGAACAAAAAAAATTCTTTTGATTTTCGCGCGCGCTCTTCCTCTTGCGCCGTTTCTTTTATTTTCCACGAGGACGCGCTTGCGTCTCTTAACATTCGATTTGTTCTTTCGTTCTGGAATGAGGAGGCGCGGTCCAGAGAAGAGCGGTCGTTCCTTTCATTACGTCGTCTATTCGGAGCGCTGGGTTTGACATTCAAGCATTGTGTGGCCTGCAACCTGAGATCGCGTTGGGCCGAACTTGTCATATCATTCTGTAAAACTGAACAAAATAATATGATGGTACCGGTACCTCTAAAGAGAGAGAGTATTTGTAGGGGTTCGTTTAATGTAAGCAGCATACATGTAAGATGTGTATTGAAATTTTGCTGTGTATTTATTACGCCATAGAGTAAATTAAATCACTGTTATTTTTACCCTTGAATGTAAATCATCCTATATCTAACGTATATCTATTTATTTTCCATTTGAAAGGCTACTTAATTTTTTATTATGCTGATAAATTGTAAGTGGTCGACTCAAGTACTGTACTTCTCACCCAAACAGTAGCTGACCTATACTTGTGATTTGTGCAGTCTACTTACAATTATTTTTATTTTTTTTACGGAGATCAGATTGTATTGTCTATATAGAGACCGAGCGGAGGGACGCAACGACGGTTCCAAGGTGCGAAGTGCTTTTTATTGTTTTGCTGTCTGCAGAGCGATGGCGCAGACTAGCGAGAATAAAGGTGCGTCATAAACCTTTCACTATGTCTCGCTTTACTCTCTTTTCCCTTTGTCCCCGCAACAACTTTATGATTCGCTCAAACGAGGGAGAGGGGGTGCCCTCTACAGGGTGGGGGAAACATCGTAGGGCACCATTTTACGTTTATATATTTTATTCCCAGCTTGAGGTCATGCCCCCCATCCCCCCGAAATAAAAGATGCTCCCAGCCGAACAAGTACCGTCAATAAGTCTGACTTCGAGGGATGCATTTGCATTACTTCGACCAGTCACAATCGCAGGGCCCGTCGTTTTCCAGTCACCCGTCAGTCGGAAAATTAAGGGATATATATAAGGGGGATATATAATCATCTACAGAGAAGTCACTATTTAAGTCAACTCCAGTCACTGTTCTAGTCACGTCCAGTCATTTTCCAATAATTTTTCACTCACCTAGTCAGATATTTGACCATAAGTCCATTTCTGAAGTGATGGTGTACTCCCGGCCTGTTGTCTACCCCTGGTTTCCTTGCACAGTGGGTCTCCGTCACGTTGCTGATACCACTGTACTAAATGCAGAATATATCACCACGGCTGCTAATTGTAGCCCAATTTTTTAACCCTTTGTTTTCCTCTTGGAAGAAAAGAGCGCCATAGTGACATTTCCATCGTTATTCGCAGCGAGTGGCAAATGAGCGCGCAGAAAAAGAGGGAGGGAGGGAGAAATGAGGGGAAGGGGAGCTCCGGGAGCTCTGGAGAAAAACACGCGGCGGTGGGGCTCGCGAAATAAGGGGGCCGTCAGTTAATAAATCACGGTATTTATGTTCGTCTCCGCGGCCGGCCTCGCGGGCCTCGAGGCCTCGTCCCGTCGCAATTTGATGAACGACCCCCCGGACCTCACGCGCGCCGAACTGGGGGAAGGCCATCATGTTGTCCTCGCGGCTCGGCGGGAAAGGGCTAGCGAACGGCCGGGCATAGATCTGTCCCCTGCGGGCCGTACAGACAGGAGCCACTCACACTTGCTGCAGCTGTGCCGCCGCCACACGATACAAGCACACAGTCTGGCAATGGCATAGCACACTGTTAAAAGCCTGCGAAGTAT